ACGCCCCAAATATTATTTACAAACGATACAATGTCAATGACTTTATAAAAGTAAAAGCACATTGTGTATTGGCCTATTGGGTTTACACTTTTACAGGTTCATTTAACTTTAACTCTCTCAAGTCTCAACAGACAATCCTTATCGGACATGCCAAATCCATTGATATGACAACTTCAAAAAACTTTTTTTCGAAGCTAGAAATCATGATTTTTTTCAAATTTTTCCAGGGATACTTTGTTTTCTGCTCTCTAGACTCCCCCTCGCGGCTCTAGTGCTCCACCCCTAGAATATAGACCTTACTGGGGTTTGGTGACACTTTGTGTTGCTTCAGTCACATGCTCACGGCTCACCCCCCCCCCCTAAAATGTCTGGCACCACCCCAGTAAAAAATATGAAAATCCGTCTATGCTTTTTACGTATTCTATATTATTCGATTGTTAATTTGCGGCGAAAATTTTTTAAATTTCCATGCGAGGGCACGCTCCCCTCCCCGCGCGATTTTTTAACTATCAGTCACAGCCGGCTACTTTTTTGGTACAACCGCCTACTTCAAATCATTCTGAAACCCCTGACCCATGGGACAAAATTAGAAAAATTGTCTTGAATTGAAATCCTGCTAGGAAAATTATTCTAGTTCGATCCGGTGTTCATGGCTTTTAAGAATATTTTTCTTAAATGACAATATTGAACTAGTATAATAATCTTGGCATGATTTTTTGCTGTTGTCCTCCTATACAATATAAAAACAATTAAGAATGTTTAAAATAATATATTTACCAGCTATACATGAATAGGTTATTACAGTAATTACTGATAGATAAATGTAAAAGTTCTCACACGCAGCAATATTGTTCAATTTCTTGAAAAGCCTTTACCATGTCAGACTGCTGAGTCTGGATGAGTGGATGGGTAGTCTTACGTCGAGCATGCAGGTACAGTAGAACAACGCCAGGAAGTAAACAATGGCTGCTTTTACAGTTTCGCTATTCTGGAATGTTGCCAATAGCTCCATGTCATGATCAGCCCTGATACAGTATGTCAGCGGGCCTCATTTGTAGCCAGGTAGTCAAGTCTGTGTCTCCTTCCTTTTGAGGAAAAAAAGCACAAATTAAAATAGTTTTGGTAACAACTACACAACCCTAATGAATTAACAGCTTATGTTTTCACTAACAAGCTATCCCCTGGGGTTTAACAGCCCTTCAGGTATCGGTTTGAAGTCCTGGCTAATAATAATTTAGGTATGGCCAATACTGTTTTGCTCTACTGAGGCTCCGGCTATTAATTGATGAGCAAAGCAAGTATGCAAAGAATGGAAGGTCGAAGCTTCAAGAGCGCTGTGAGTTGAGTGGTAAGCAAAGGCTTGCAAGCTTTGTCTATTTGGTATATCGTCTGAGTGCAAGATTGGATCAAAAATTTCAGCTTGTCATGACTGCAAGCACCGGCGAATTACACACAGCCTCTGGCGAATGGCTGTCAAATTTCTTCTTAGCGCTGGCGAAATTCGCCGTTCGCCGGCCTAAAACAAGATGGGTGGGGTTATAGACATGCAGAGCAAAATACAATACACCCTGTTCATGAATGACTGCCGATTAAAAATTCTTTTTTGTGCATATAAATTATTGGCCCAAATAGCCTCGTTTCTGGGTAGAAATTCCTTTGAAATCTTAACATGAGTACGAGGCTAGTTGGGCCAATTTATATGCACATAAAAGAATTTTTAATCGGCAGCCATTTATTAAAAGGGTGTATGATGGATGGAACAAGAGACACTCAGTCGGCAGTTTTTGTTAGCCCATATTAACTTATCTCAACCATATAGGAAAGCTCAAAACTAAGAAGATGTATATGTACACTAAATTTGATTCAGGCCTTTAAGTACTAAATGAATTTTATAAAACGAAACTACAGTATAACCCCACCTCAACAAAGTTTATGATGTCCAGTTTGCTCTTAGCAGGTTGACTTTTTGATTTGAAGAGTGAATTAAATGTTCTTCATTAGGTGATCAGAAGTACTTTCTATAGAATTACATACATAAAAAATAATATTAATTAAGTTACATTTTTAATAAAAGCTTTGTGGTATTTTGAGAGCTAAACAATGCAATTTTGATTTTTCATATAATTTATTAGTTACCGGTACAGTATAAACCAAAATGCAATTTTCATTCATTATTTTCTATTAACGACACCTAATGTCGGTGCTAATGAATCCAATGTTTGTACTGGTACTCTAATTAATCAAATGAGATTCCTTCAAACTTCTTCAACAACCTATTTGATGAGCGATGATGTAAATTTTTTGAAAATAACTGCATACCTTATTCCAGAGTTTTTATAACCATGATACTGTGGCTCATATACTTTACTCAGTAGTCAGTGGTATAACTTTACTATTTTGACCACTTGTCCTTAGGGCAAGTTCAATTTGCCAAGTTGGATAAGAAAATTAGTTGCCCTGAATAAAATTCACTTGCCATCAGAGAAATGGCCACTGGGGTACCTAGGTAGGGGGTATAAATTAAGGGGACAACATGTTGACCCTTTCTTCCACTGCTCTACATGCCTCAGAGCTTTGGCCCACAAAAAAACAAAATTTGAATCCATGCACAAGTACCACATGCATTGTATAAAAAATTTATCCAGCAATGAAAACATAAATTTAAAGATACCCAGCTTTTTGTGGCAATGATATTCACTTCCCTGGGCAAGTGTTAAGTTAGAAGTTACAACTCTGTTACTTATTGAAAGCATGATATAACTTGGCATCCTTAACCAATTAACCACCATCACTCTCCCACTCACAAATAAAATTGTCTGGCATTAGACAGGAATACAATAAAGGGTGCGATGCAACTTCATGGGTTAAAATTTGAAATTTTGACTGTGGGACCATGATTTCTGGGACTCAAATTGACCATAGTGACTCAAATTTTCCCACGAAAAGAAATCAATAATTTATTTGTAATCATTCTGTTATGTAGGATAGAGTTTACAACATGAGAAAAAATTTTTGAACAGCCAAATCCATTAGGTATAAAATGTAAGGTCCAAAACTATCTGTACCAGTGTTGGTAGTACCAATGTGAAAATGCTGTGCTGAGTGGTTATATAAGCAGAAACTTGACGTTTCCTGCGAAGGCCCTTCGTCAAGAGTTAGCTACTAACTCTTGACGAAGGGCCTTCGCACAAAACGTCAAGTTTCTGCTTATTTTTTAAGGTAGTAATTATATAACCACTCAGCACATCATAAAATGTAAGGGCAATGTTGTTGGTATTTGTGATTTAATATGCAATTGTCTCATTCCAGAAAACATTCATATGGTTATGATTTAACCTCAGTTGTATTGGAGATACAAGTGAGGTTAAATCAAGTGCTACTTGTTTCAGTAACCCATTGAGTGATAGCACAGACAGGTAAAATCATCTGACATTAGACCGAGTAAAACAATAAAGTTGTGGCACAATGCGGCTTATGCAATGTCCGGCCTAGTGTAATATCCAGTTAACACCCCATTTCAGTGACCAGCCAAACTTCTTGAGAAGTATTCCTGTTTTAATGGGTTAACATGACCATGATGTGTCTGAATATTGTGCCATGATGTGCCCTATTGTTCTCTGTCTAGCGTCAGACCATTTTACTCATCATGGCTAAGTGGAGAGTGCTGGACTGCTGGTGCCTAATTTATTAATGGCTTTTTTAAAGATAATTCAATCTACTGTAATGTTGGATGCACATGTAAAAAGAATACTACCATAGTTAATAGTTTAGTAGTTTTATGCTGTTGTAAGCTTAGACTGTTTTTACACTATAAAGTCTGCAGTAAATATACAGTCATTTAGACCCATTTAATTATAAATTGACTATTTAATATGACCCCAGGCTAGACATTTGGCATGATCCAGCTTGCAATATGAACTCTATCGACTGTTTACAGTAAAGTGAATTATTCTACTTCTTTCTGGTCTAGACAGGATCTCATTAATTGTTGCCGGGATCACACCTGCCAGGACAAGAAATTCTCATACAAGCACTCTATCATCCCTGCCAGGCGGGGTGTATTCCGTCTATATAAACACACCATCCTGGGGCCAGTTGTTCAAAGCTGGGTTAGCTTAACCGTAGGTTAACCTAAAATTCAAAGCTAACTTCCTGACAGCTTGTCTATAAATTTGAAAATATTTTTTCAGAGATCTTGTCTGGATTGATAGGAGTTTTCTTCTCTGAAGTTTTGAAGTAAACAGACGTGCAGAAATACACAAACTAAAACAGCAGGTTAAATTTTAACCTAGGGTTAGCGTTAACCCACCTTTGAACAACCGGCCCCTGGATTAAAACCTCCTGTCCAGCCATGCCATTATCACATAAACAGGTACATATTGTTAAAAACCTGGCGTTAGACAAGTGAAAAAAAGTAGGGGCACATTCTGGCTGAATGGGTTAAATGCTTAATTTAAAATCAATCTATTTACATGCTAAAACCAAGAAATATGCACTGAATTGATAATCTGAATAATCAATTCTATATATTGGGCTAACAATTTTATGATTCAGATAGATAAGATTGCGATTTACTCAAGTTTAATACTCTCAAATAATGTTCATGTTTTGGCTTTAATACTGCGCTTGTAGCAATCAGCAATGTAGCATAAATATATTCATATTAACATATTGTTTTATATACTATGTGGGTTCAAACATGCTTTCTCGAGTTTTGTCAAACAAGTGAAACCTAGTATTTACTATGTTTTTATTCAAAATTTGAATTGTTGATTTTAACTAACATTTGACGGCATTGAAATGAAATAATTCAATATATAAAACCTCGCGCGCAAATTCAAATTTTAGCAGCCACAACACTACAACAGGCCAACAGCCACAAGATAAAATGGGTAAATACGGTCGATGTACGTTATAATTATATGATATAAACAATATTATATAATACCTTATTAAATTCTAATCGTTTAATTGGCTGTTTATGGTCACGTGATATTGAATAGAAAATTCCATTTCCCAAGAGTGCAATGGAACACGTTCCATTGCACTCTCCGCGAGTGCAATGGAATAAAACGTATAGTACAATTGCACTCTTTGTGTTTTCGATAAATCGCATCCCTCAAAATGCTTCTCATACGAATCTATTAGTCTGTTCTGGACTTTTGGTATTATATAAAACAAATAATGAATGTTTCTTCGTGCAATGGTAAGAATATTTTCACTCGGTGAAAGATGGAATGTTCCATTCAACTCGGCTGTCGCCTCGTTGAATGGAACATTCCATCTTTCACCTCATGAAAATATTCTTACCATTGCACTCATAAACATTCATTATTTGTATAATATTTCATACCTGAGATCAATAAGCCTTCGGCAGGATTCGGAGTCACTTATCCAGTACAAAATAAGATAAATACCATGGACTCTTCTTGGGCAAAATATACTCAAACGAAAAAGTCGAAAATTTGCAAATCACACTTGAAATAGTGATGGGCGATACTATCGAAAAAGTATCGAAATTATCGATACTTACAAAAGTATCGATACTTTCGATACTCGCAAAAAGTATCGGTAATTCGATACCACTTGAGCCTGCGATGGTTTTGGTCAGTGTTGCTGAACAATCGCTAAATACTTCATGAAGGCAACAGACTGAAGGCCCCTGAAGGGAAAAAATGTTGACATTTAAACAAAAATATGTGGCTAATTAGCAATATATTTTAAGAAAACATTGGTGTTTAGATTTAAAATCATAATTGCAAATGTTATGTTCGATTATTTGGCAAGTACTCCAGTTGGAGTATTCTTTGACTTGTTTTAAACATTAATGTTCTTATTTTAAAAGTTATTTTAATAAATGGAAAAAATTGAGTATCGGTATCGATTTTGGTATCGGTATCGACCAAAATTCATGGTATCGGACTGGTATCGTATCGAAACCAAAAAAGCTGGTATCGCCCATCACTAACTTGAAATTTGATACACGATATCCCACAACTCATTGCGCGCGTGACCCTTGTCTTCTAAAATAGATACATCAAAAAGCGCTCCCAATCTATCGTAGCGCTAGCTTGAAATTGTAGGAAGCATTAATCTGGCGGTCTCTGGCCAAAAAATGATTATAAAAATGATGAAAATTCTTATGAGCGAATAATGAGATAGATTTTCTAAAAAAGTTATATGCCAATTGCAATTTAAATATAACATTTTTATGTAATATTTCAAATCCGAGTTAGTGTTTTAGACGTGGTTTCTAAATACAAGTGCCATGAACAATGGCGAGGCGCAGCCGAGCCATTGTTCATGGCACTGGGGATTTGGAAGCCAAGTTTAAAACACTAACGAGGATTTGAAATTGCTTCTCACAGATCATTAGATATTCATAGCAATGAGGCAGTAACATGATAGCGAATTAAGTTGTTCAATGAGGCGAATGCGTAACGAAGGAAGCTAGAATTAAAGGCGTTGTTGTTGTAGTATTTGTTCGCCTTCGAAGGAAGCATGGCATCTAGTTGCAAAAAGAGGAGATTTCGAGATCCTCAAAGCGTGGAAAGAAGCATTGACAACGTGCGAAATGCTATTCCACAAACAACGCGTTATAAAAATCGTTGGGGAGTTCGTATATTTGAAGATTCGCAAAGTGGGCGAGAAAATAAAGCAGTCATGTGTGAGAGCAATCCTTTCAGCTTAGATTTGCAGAATTTGCAAAATTTGGAGACAGAATTGTGTTCAATGACGGCAAGAACGTTAAACTTCTGGCTTATCAAATTTGTTCAAGAAGTTTGCGACAAGGATGGCAAGCCATATCCCGGGCGTACAGTATACCAAATTATATGCTCGTTGAAACGACATCTAGACAAAAATGGCCGGGCTGAAGCTAACATGTTAAATGCTAACAATCACTGGTAGGTTGAATTCGTTCATTTTTAATTAATGGTTTAGTTTAATTTATTGTAATATGAGCATGTTTATTACTCAGTTTCCAGACGTTCAGAAGAGTGCTGGATAGTGAAATGAAAGCCACCCACCGGGAAGGCGAATCGCTTGCGGAGAATCGTACAAGACGAGAGAAAGAAGCTATTATACAGATGATGAAGAAGGTTTGCTGTGGTCAAAACGCTTACTGGGAGACAAAACTGCTCAAAGTTTGGTTTACACAATTTATTTCTATATCCACCCTCGAAGCCTAAGGAAGACGAAAAGTTTCAAATTTCCGACGAGGAACTTGATAAGTTTTTGAGTGAAGTGGACTGGTCTAAAATTGATAAAGAAGGTGCAGCGACGTACTATCGCAGAAAAGTTTGTTTTGTCGAACAGTACATTCACTAACTGTTCCTTTAACATTCCGTTTGCCGGAAATAAGTAATACTAAGTCAATTGTATGTGTGTTATTGTTAGTGTGATTAAAAAAGCAACATATTTTGTTGTTTGAAGTGTGTTTTAATGTTTTTGTGTATTTAGAAGTTATTTCTAAATACAGCTTACTGTATTTAGAAATAATTCTAAACATAGCAATTAAATATATTTGCATAATCTTTTGTTTACCCCTCAATTTCCCTATTGTTCAAAGCCCTTCCCACTTGAAGTAATTAAAGTCCTGGTCTAGACGGGGTATCCAGATAGATACACATGATGTAAATTACACCATGTCATTGGCCGAAATGCTATGAATATCTAATGATGTGTGAGAAGGTTTATTACAGCATTAACGTATCGCATGTCTTAACATGTGACAGCATTAATCGTGATGTCATAACATGTGGTGATATTTATACGCAAAATCTTGGGTAAATTTACACATCATTTTGTGCGATGGATCATACCATCTTCATTAAAGTGTAGATAGACGATTGTTGCAAATGGTTTGAATTATGTATAATTGTTATTTTTCAATAACAATTCATTGGCCATATACCGGCAAATTCATTATGATATCTGCCATGTTGAAACTGCGACAATTCAGGACAGAGCCGTTCAGCTTCAAATTTGACAAAAAAGTGAAAGATATACAATAGAACTAGGTTTAATTCAATTCAATATCATATCTCGTTTCGGCCATGCAAAAATTGCCGTCCGAAAGAAAGGTTTTGATATATGCGATAAATAATATTAAACTTCATTTCAAGATTGTTTTTCTAATTATAAGAATATTATTCTAGGATGGAAAAATGTTATTCTTAAAATAAGAAAAATATTCTCTCGAATATTCTTGCCTAGTTATATTTTCTTACTTTAAGATTTTTGTTCTTAAAACTAGATTTCTTTTCTTGAAATATTTCTTGATAAGAAATATTTACTTAAAATAAGAAAAATAATCTAAAAAATAAGAATATTATTCTAGACTAGAATTCGATTTTTTGCAGTGTAGCCTATTATTACCTAGCCATGGGCTCCATGAAAGGGCCTGTTTATAAAATCCCAGCTAGGCAGGATGAGGCAGTTTCCAAAATTCTGACTATCATATCAACTCGTGTTCAAAAATACATGTATATATATTTGATGAACTCATGCGCTCACGAACATGTATAAACATGACATCCTAGCTGCCTGGCAAGGTTTCCCACCTGACAGGATCATATGAACATGTCTTAATATTAATTAAAATAAGCCTTTTAAATACTGCAATATCCTACATACTAATATACTATAACTCTATAAGTCACAAGACTTTGCAAAATAACTTTTTCTACTTTCCTGGAAATATGTCAGACCAGCCCAATAATAAACACATCCAGGTTTACTGTAAATATAATTATAAATGTCCAATTGAATCAGCAGAAACAGGGAGGGTTTCAAAGGAATATGCCACCTAGCTAAACTAAAAAAGAGGTTATTAATTTTGCTAAGCCACACACAAAATATTCTTTGTCCTTTCATGACCAAGAATCCTCAATGAGATATATTATTTATAAACACAATATAAAAATATGCAACGGATTCGAAAACATTCCAGCGACTATTAACGTAGAGAGACTTCTGACGACTTATATATATATAGCCTATTATTATCTAGCCATGAGGGCCCCCTATACTTTTTGCGTGAAGCGTGATGGGCTTATTTTACTTAGCCGTGAAACGTGATCGATGATTTTCTTAATCCGTGATTCGTGATAGTATGACTTCCAATCTTTTTACGTGCACGTGAAGGAAAGATTCGAATTAACCGTGACCCGTGAATGGCGGATAGAAATATGCGTGATTCGTGAATCATCTGTTTTGTGTGATCAGCTTTCCAAGGTATAAATACGGTTTGTTGCTGTTTTTTGAAGTACTTGATGTACAGGAGCCCGTTTTCGACATAGTTGGAGGTTTGAAAGCATGTCGAGGTAAGTACAGACGAGTACAATGATTCTACAATTAAGGAAGACATTCTATAATAATTCGTGAATTTTGAACTAAAAAAAAGGTTATTAATTTTGCTAAGCCACACACAAAATATTCTTTGTCCTTTCATGACCAAGAATCCTCAATGAGATATATCATTTATAAACACGATATAAAAATATGCAACGGATTCGAAAACATTCCAGCGACTATTAACGTAGAGAGACTTCTGTAAATCTTAATGCGGTTCGTGTCGTAAAAATCGTCGGAATTACTCTTCCCAAAAAAATGTCGCTTTAACCCATGTAGTTCACATATAAATATCGTTGAACAGATCTTTTTAAGTGCACATATTTGCACAACGCCGTCCTCGACTCGCTTCAGCAATGCGCTTTAGCCATATTTAATATAATTTATTACCTTTGTGTTAAATTTATGCATTATTAATACAAATTTATGCCTCCCAAATTTTGGGGGGCTGTAATGTGATTGGTCAATCAGAACAATGCCGAAGCTCATTGACCCAGCCGTTAAGTGGGCGAGTGGCGAGAACACAACGGCTGGAATCTGAGCCTAAAGCTGCCCCTGAGAAATTTAACTTACTACTTCTGTTAATATACTGAAATTATTAAACCAAATGGTGCTTATAATCTTGTGAATCAGAATGAATGATTGTGTGTGGGGTGGGGTGGCCATAAGCATGGACATTAATTGATTTCATTTTGAATACATTTGAGTACTTATTTCAGCATATAGGTACTTACTATCCCCTGCCCCTAGTAAAAAATCTTGAGTACAGCCCTGGACTCAAGTCAGTACAGGAATCCATGCACTTCCTCGGAATAATTTTGTTCACATAAGTTTATTGTCATTGGTAAACTGCCCGATGCCAAGCAGACCCATTTTCGTACAGGAGAATGTAACAAAAATGTGACAACATAAATTGACTGCAATCGATACGTAACTGCACCTGAGTCAAGCCCAACGTTTGCAATATCCTGCATTGATGTACTCTTCATTGTTTGTCCGCCATGATGCTGTTATACTATAGTAAGCAGCATGTTTCTTTTTAGACAGCACAAGTGATATTACTGAACAATACATGGCTGATGCAAGAATATACGTTAAGCAGAAAGGTGTTTCTAGAATTGAAGAATTTCTCAAGAAAAAACTCGAGGGATCGAAAGATGTGAAAATAAGATTTGCCATTACAGGAAATAGTGGAACAGGGAAATCGGCATATATCAACGCAATAAGAGGGTAACATTTTTCTTTTTTTCTTTTTGAAAAACAATGCTCCGGCTTTTCTTCCATAGAGTATAGGTTCGTCAATTAAATTACAAAACTACTCCTCTTTCAATTATAATATACATATTTTACTCTCACCAATTCACTTATATTGGTGAGAGTAAGAGATCGTGGAAGTCACGGTGGGCTGAGCACAAGCCAGGTGTACCACCAGAAATAAAGTCTGCAAATAAAGATCATGCAGAAACTACAAGACACGAGACTTCTATGGAGAATGCTAAGATCATAGAGAAGAGAGTGTAAAATACACACAAGAGGCTCTTCCTTGAATCTCTGCACTCAGTGTTGGACAAAAGATTAACAAATGAACACTAGTACTATATAATGACACTATATAATGTTCTGTCAGCTCCGCCTCAGTATAGAATTCTGAAGAAGGCCGCAGCTAGCAGCCGAAAATTCAGTATATATTTTTAACTTAGAACTTTTTAAATATTTTAACTAGCCCAAATACAACTTCGAAGAACATGTCTCTTACTGGTCGCGTCTTATGGTTATATATATATTGATGAAGACAATAAAGTGGAAACGTTATGTGTTGAGTTGATTAACATATATATATATATATATATATATATATATATATATATATATATATATATATATATATATATATATATATATATATATATATATATATATGCATATATATGCATATATATATGCATATATATATATATATATATATATATGCATATATATATTTATTATGTACTATTTAAAAAACGAGCAGGAGTGTTTTATTAGGTTTAAAGCCACGAGCGCGCAGCGCGAGTGGCTTTAGACCCAATAAAACACAACCTGCGAGTTTTTTAAATGGCTTCAAAAACTCATTAATAATTCAGGACAAAACACAAAGAAAAATCATAAGCGTGTCGTGGTTTTATATGTGATAAAAAATCACGTTAATTTACATAAACTTTAGCTTTGACTTTCTCGGTTTAGACAAAGTTTATTTTAAAAATTACTTCGCCAATGAACTCGTATAAGATGAGTCGTTTTTGAAGCTATTTAAAGCACTTGTAGTCGTGTTTTATTACATATAAAACACTCCGCTACGCGTCGTGTTTTATATGTGATAAAATACTCCTATACGCGTGCTTTAAATAGTACTTCAAACACTCATTAATAATTCATAATTCATAAGCTTATTGGCAAATCATGTCAACCATAATATGTCACGTGCAGTGGCTTTAAACCTGATAAAACACTCCTAATTAGTATTCTTTATATAAAGAATACTATTAAAGCAATATCTATTGTAGTCGTGTCCTCACTGGTATTCTTTATATAAAGAATACAAAAAAGGCAGTATATCTATTGAATTTGTAGTCGTGTTTGAAGCCGTTTAATAAACTCGCAGGTCGTGTTTTATTAGGTCTAAAGCACTCGCGCTACGCGCTCGTGGCTTTAAACCTAGTAAAACACTCCTGCTCGTTTATTAAACAGTACATAACTTTTATAAAATAAACGATATTTTAAGAACGGTACTTATACATATACAGCTGGTCTCAAAGCATGGCCATGCATCCTCATCTATTTGTTCATCCAAACTGACTTTCCTCCGGCCTTTGTAAAATCCCCCAAGAAGCATTGCGATTGCAGCCATGCACCATATACTGACTGTTACCACGGCAACCAAAGCACCGATTGCTTTTGTCATCGAGGCGTGTTTCACCTTTTTCCAACACGATTTTTCAGCTAAAGTATGATGAAAAATACAGTGAGAAACTATAAACAGTTTAGTTGGACTTTCCAGTTAAATTAACCAGATTATGTTTTGCAAAAACCCGGGCACTGCCAGCCAGACCCAGGGCCATAATTTCCCCCCGCTTCATGACGTCATTGAAGACGATTAACCTAGCTGCGAAACAATTAAAGATTAAAGGCCCTATAAAGGCCCTAATAAAACACTCCTGCTCATTTATTAATTAAAGAGTACTTTTATATAAAATCTTTATATAAAAATATTTATATAGTTTGCATAACAATGGTCTTTTGTTAAAGTGTTCTTTAGCTGGTATAAAGACGTATGCACGTTACTAATTTCTTACTCAAGATTGGATAATTGCTTCATGGCCTTCATGAATTATTAATGAGTTTTTGAAATACTATTTAAAAAACCGAATGAGAGGGCTTTATCGGTGCATATAGACGCGAGCCGAAGGCGAGCGGCTATAGGCACCGATAAAGCCCAATCACGAGGTCTATAAATGAGTTCTAAAATTCACCTTTTCTTTTGCGTCCCAATGAAATAATAAGAAATGTTAACTACAAAAGTTCTATTGTTTTACGATTCTTCCCTTCATTGATCAGCAAGCAAATTAATGACTGGATTAATTATCAAGTCATACAAGTCGTTAAACGGAGTTTTCAAATTGAAATTTGAACATTTGACTTGTGTCGTTAATGAGTCGGTTTTGAAGCGCTCGAAGTGCCGAAGAGGAGCAAACGTTGCTCGAAAGATCGACGCCGCCAAGTGCAATTAGATACGAGACAAAGTACGCTTTGAAGATTTTTTTATTCCTGGAGAGCTGCGAGAAAGGTTAAAGAAGTGAAGATCGACGTTGCCGGTCACGAAACTGATGATATTGACCCAATCCAGACATTAACTACATCGCTGGCGGAGATGAATGAAGCGTCTTAGCATTTTGGTTAAGCAAATTTGTTGGATTTAAAGAGTTTAAAGTGGTGTGTAATCAAAACGAAAGGGTTGTTAATCCCGTGTTTAAAAATTGTAACATTACCTTTAACTTTAGAAAATAAAGTATTTATTGATTTCTCGAATATTTGAATGTTTTTATTAGGAACAGATTAATAAACATTTTGTTAAAGGTGATCTGCAGTCCGATCTGCGCATCTGCACAAAGGAGCCCACTTTTTATGATACAAACAGTTTTACTATGTTTTGGGTTCTTGAAAAGCCTGGTTTTTGTTTCTTGATCATTTATTATACTCTAGAAGCTTGAAAATATAAATAGTTGTCGAATAAAGCTCAATATTTTGGACACAAAAATGTAAACAAAGGCTTTGTTTACATACGGACTGTAGAGCACCTTTAAAGAATGCTTTATAAAGGTACATGTACCTTTATCATAAAGGTACATGTAGTCTATATATGAATTTTAAATCAGCAAACACCGATCTATATCACGGTATATAAGGGTCATCATGTGACGAGATTTTAAGAAATTCATTGGCTAATTAGCTCTTGAATTATTCATAAATTTTAGAAATATATATATATATATATATATATATATATATATATATATATATATATATATATATATATATATATATATATATATATATATATATATACAGGGTGTATCAAAATAAACGCAATTCATCTTTTGTGCTTAATAACTTTCGAAATACTATTTCTAGTTAAACGCTTTTAGGTTTACTTCAAAGCCTGTTCTTTTCTCTTTCAAACAAACTATTATCCTTGTCTCCAATGCTAGTAATAATTGCACAGGAAAAGATTTAGTAAACCTATCATTTTTAGTTGCTGTTTAATTATGCAAGTTTACTATGTTATTGTTTAGTCGGTTTAAATGTTAGAATTTTCTTCTTTAAACTTTAATGTTGTCGTCACTACATCTGGAAAACCACGTAAGAACAAATTAAAAGTATTTTAAAAGAGACCAGGTTGTTTGAAAATCCTAAACGAATGCTAAAAATCGTCAAAACATTCTGGTGTCTGAGCCAGAGTGTCATCGAATTGCGATGTAATGTAAACAGAAATTATAGCAAGTTGATGTCAGTCAGCTTAGATGGTCCAAGCCAAAATTATATCGCATTTGAAGTTCAAACTGAGTTAAAAATAGTGGAAGAAAAGCCGTAATTATACTTATTGTTACAATCCATTTAATAAAATGCAACATTTTTTTTGTTTTAATGAAAAAATCAGTTATTTTCATGAGAACGTTTAGTTATTCCATCTCAATTTTTTTAATCTCCAATCGCAGTAACGTAAAGTATTATTACCCGCGAACCAATGAGTCAAATTTAAGAAACAACCCACTGTTAGAAAGCGGAATGGCTACGCTTTAAAATGAATGTAAACTTTAAAGTTTTCGTCTATTACTTGTTTAGCAATTTACATTTCAGTCGAGGATTGCGCTTTTTTGATACACCCCAAAAAAAAAGTATTCATCTTTGATTCAGTATAACTTAAAAAGTAATAGAGTTCTGACACTTAAACAATAGGCATTGTATTCAATAATGATAACTTAAATTTTCGTATATACCATTTGCATTTTAATACAGTATTGACTGAGATAACTGCGTTTAAAGTTGAGTTAACGTTTCGGGAAATGTCGAAAATGAGCAAAAAACGGCCTATTAAATAACTGACCAAGATGGCGGACATATTACACGTGCTATTTTGATGTCCGCACGAAAATAGAAATTTTTAGTGTTTATATTGGTAGAGTTTGACTGAATTTACCTAAATCAGTTAATTTTAAGTGCAAAATTATATATAAGCCTGTTTAAAGAGTTCTGTCTTACGAATTCGTACAAGAAAACGACAAATATATTGGCGGAAATTTATATCATTGTCGACATTGTTATCAATCGACCCGTCTCCTCAAAATATGGCAGAAATAAAGCGATACCACGTCGAAAATTTCAAGAGTACTAACGCGAAACGTGTGCCATTTGAAGAACTTGACTTTTCAATCTACAAACCAAGCTCCAATCTTGTGGCTTTCTTCACTTCAGAAATAAGATTGCCACTATGGATTCAAGGGATGAAGTACGTATCGTTATCTATAAACGGCTTCGAGAACCACGCCGAAGTAGAAGTGCGTTGGGAAGAACAAGAATCATCAACTGATGCATCAAGATGCGAGAAGATATGTATTAATCTACTTTCTCGAAAGAATTCAGAAAATCTTATCACTATAACTGTAATGTTAAACACTGGTCGTATACAAATTCAAGGTCGTTATATTAAGGAATGGGTAACCGAATTCAACACGCTGTTAGAGTTCATTAATTCCGCCGGGTCTGAGCCCCCCAAATCATCATTTCAAACAGATCTCGACATATTTGTGGAGAAGATATTTAGTAAAACCCACAAAGACAAAACCTCGAGTTGTCAAATACCAGTCAGTTCATCAAGTTCAGTAGAGAGTCATGCCTTGAACATCAACAATGAACAGTCACCTAGTAGAGAAAAGTCTTTCTCGGTAATTAAGGACAACCTTGCATCCCTCGAGGCTGACTATGTACAATTCAAACAAAATTCCGAGAAAGCTGTTTCAAACCTCTCTGAATTAATGAAAAATAAAGATGAAGAAATCGGAAAGCTGAAAAGTGAGATATCCAACCTAAAGACAACCATGCAGGCAAACAAACAATCTCACAGTGATCTTACCCTAAGACAATTCCAAATGGAAGATGAACTGAAAAATCTCCATGGAAAATGTAAATTACTAGAAGAAAAAAATTCCGACCTACTGAGAAAAGTGGTTTACCTCAAAGAATCCACCCAGACCTCAAAAGCCACTGCTATAATACCAGAAGACCCCAACTTAAATTCATCAGATACTACTACAAGCCAAAATGATGACTCCATCCCACCTTCCAGCATAAACATACCCACATCCAACCAATATGAATTCCTACCTGAAGAACCATCTAATTCTAACACAGAAGCAAAAAAACCTAAAGAAATTGACTCATGCTTGCAGAATGAACAACCCAATGAAACAGACCATCAAAGCCATGGTAAATATGTTAACGAGTCAGAAACTATTATAATCTGTGATAGCAATGGTAGATATCTACAACCAAAACTGTTATGCCCTGACACCAAGAATAGCTACATAAGATGCCCAACATTGTCAAAAGCTAAAACAATAATCCAGAATACAACATTCACCTCTCCTCGCACATTTATTATTCATTGTGGTACTAATGATTTAGAAAGCACCAAATCAAACGAGCAAGTGGTTAATCAAACAATGGAAGTAATTACTGAGGTAAAGAAGAAATTTCCTGAAACCCGAATTCTTATTTCGTCACTACTCCCTAGAAATAACATTTTAGATAAAAGATCAAACATAATTAACAAGGAACTAGGAAAAATCATCTCCTCCAAACCAAAAGTTACCTTTGTTAAGCATGACCATATCACCAAATCATACCATCTCAAAGATAAAAAGCACTTGAATATAAGAGGTGTAAAGCTATTTGCCCGAGATCTTAAAGCAGCTTATTTCAACACACCTATAAGAAGAATGCCTCAATATGCCTCAAGGAATAATAGCAATGCATCCTCACAATACCAACGATACCAAAGCACATTCCCACTACATCCCCAATTGAAAGGCAATCCCCCTTTCACCCCACTCAATCCAAATATGCCCCCTTTCAACATGTTCAATGATCCTCCATCAAACCCTTACAACCCATTCTACTATCCAGCTCCCTTCAAGCCAAATCTCCGAAACATCACAAATGAACCACAGAAGAAGACCACTTCATTGTTGAATCAAAAAAGTCAATCCTTCCCACCACAATTGATAGAGTTGATTGAACACCTTCATAGGTATGTTAATTAACTAAATTCAACATACATGAATGTTGCCTTAGTTTACAGATATGATACGTTTAAATTTAACATACAGTAGTAGTATAATAAATTAAATTTCTCCCTCAGTAGGGTGCATGGAAATATATATATATATATATATAAATCTTTATATATCCTAAATAAAAAAACCCCAATAGGTTTCATGTCATCCTCTGCAAGTTTTCACACAAATCTTACCTATTTTAAAATGCCCCCAAACATCTCCTTTAGTGCATGGAATATCCATGGTCTAGCAAGCAAGGTTCTTGGTGATAAAACTAAAAACAAGGACTTTGTTGATAGGGCTGTCAAAAATGACTTCTTGTTTTTAAACGAAACATGGTCAAACACAGAAATTAATGTCCCTGGTTTTAAAGATTTTGTCTCGGATACTGCAGTGCCTATCACTAACAAGGCATGCCGTATATCAGGAGGCATCACTCTATTAGTTAAAATAAAATTCGAGAAATATGTTACAATTGTCAAAAAATCAAAAAATTTTCTATGGTGTAACATTTCAAAAGACATACTAAAAACCGATTTAGACTTATTCTTGTGTGGTGTTTATATACCACCTGAAAAATCAGCATACTTTGATGAGGAAATATTTGATGAACTAGAAAATGACATAGTCTCATTTGCATCAAAGGGGAACACCATGATCCTTGGTGACTTTAATGCAAGAACATGTAAACTTGAAGATTTTGTCTCCAAAGAAGACAATAACTTTATAAATGACACAAGTGAAAATTGTCTACAACCTAAAGTCAAACAAAGTTTCGACAATAATATCAACAACCACGGTAAAAAACTTATCAATTTATGTAAAAACACAGACCTAAGAATCCTAAATGGAAGAACCATAGGAGACTCATTAGGCAGACCAACATTTCATGGAATAAATGGCACAAGTGTAGTCGACTACATTATATGTGACCAAAATATTTTCAAAAATATTAACTATTTTGTAGTAAAACCTCCTACATATTTATCAGACCACAGCCAAATCATTACATGGATTGATATATGTAAGACAACAGAAAATGAAGAGAACAATCAATCTCAATCACCCACCCATAAATTACCATTACAATTTGTCTGGTCAATGGCCTCAAAAAATGATTTCAGACAAAGATTAAAATCACATGAAATACAAACAAAACTAAATCAATTTGTAAATTCAGAGTTCACAAATGATATAAACGGAGTTAATAAGTGTTTATCTGAATTTGAAGATATTATGATTGAAGCATCCAAAAAATCACTAAAAATAAGAAAGAAAAAAATTCGGAAAAATATTACCAATGTTGCTAATAAAAAATGGTTCGACAAAGATTGCCGCATCAAAAGGCACCAAGTTCGAAAATTGGCAAACCAAGAACATAGGGATCCCATAAAACTTGAAGTAAGAAATGCTTATCATGCTGCACTAAAAACTTATAAAGAGACCCTACATTTGAAAAAAGCAAAATTCCATAAAGAGAAAATTGAAGAACTTGCAACTGCAAGTGGTAAAGACCCTAATCTCTTTTGGAAAACTCTAAACAATGCCACAGATGACTTAAGAAGCAATAATAATTCAAGTAACTCCCCAAAACCTGATCAGTACCTCAAACATTTCGAAAATCTGCATTCAAATCACAAATTGAGTAACGATCACAAACAAATCATTGAACAACTTAAAATGAAAGAAAACAATAAGGATCAACTTGATCAACTAGATACAGAAATAACAGATCACGAGATATTAAATACGGCTAACCTGATAAAAATGAAAAAAGCTACATACTCTGATAGAATCAGTAATGAAATGATTAAATCAAGTGTTGACATTCTTATGAAGGGGTTTATAAAGGTCTTCAATACCATATTAAATTCGGGAAATTTTCCAAGCTTATGGTGTGAAGGCTTAATAACTCCAATTTTTAAAGCAGGAAATAAACTAGACCCCAACAATTACAGAGGAATTTGCGTTTCAAGCTGTGTAGGAAAATTTTTCTGCTCCATCCTCAATAAAAGATTATTGTCATTTACTAACCAAAATAAAATTATTCATCCTTCTCAAATAGGCTTTATACCTGGTAACAGAACAGCTGACCATATTTTAACACTTAAAAACACTGCATGATAAATATGTAAATCAACATAAAAATGGAAAAATTTATGCCTGTTTTGTGGACTTTAAAAAAGCATTTGATTCAGTTTGGCATGACGGCCTTTTCTTAAAATTATTAGAGAATAAAATAGGTGGGCAATTCTATGAACTGATAAAAAATATGTACTCAAATACTCAATGTGCAATTAAGATATCAGATCGTAGAACCCCTACTTTTCCTATCAAAGAGGGGTCCGTCAAGGTTGTGTTCTAAGTCCCCTCTTATTTAATATCTATATTAATGAATTGCCAGAATTATTAGAAAAAACAAATTCTGATCCATTTATATTATCAAATGGTACTACCATAAGCAGTCTTCTCTATGCAGATGACCTGGTAATTCTGTCAAAATCACAATCTGGTCTCCAAAACAGCCTAAACACACTTTATAGTTGGAGTAAAAAGTGGCTCATGGAGGTAAACCTTAAGAAAACGAAAGTAATGATTTTACAAAAACATAAATCCAAACTAACAAACGCGAACTTTTTCATAGGAAATAATCCGATTACTATTACTAATGAATATACCTATCTCGGTTTAAAATTAACACCTAATACAAAATTTACTGTTGCAAACCAACAACTTAGTGAAAAAGCAATGCATGCCCTATATAAAATACGCAAACACATCGATTTTCACTTCCTACCCCCAGAAATAGCTGGTAAAATTTTCGACGGTGTGATCTCACCCATATTATTATACAACTCAGAGGTATGGGGGGCTTACACCGACAATGATTTTACCAAATGGGATAAATCGTCTACAGAAAAAACCCACCTGAAGTACTGCAAACTCTATCTAGGCGTAAACAGAAAAGCCAGTAATTTCGCAAGTAGAGGAGAATTAGGTAGATTCCCTTTGTGGTTTCCAATGCTCAAAAGGATACTAAACTATATTAAATCTATATGCCAGCAACCAGATTCGTCTATAGTAAAACAAGCTTTCCACAGCTCGAAAGAACTATACATGAACGGTAAAAAATCGTTTTACTCTAACATTGTTAAAACACTTAAAGCCCATTATCCCACACTTGAGGAACCAATAGATTTAGGGAATTTTATCGAAAATGAGAAAATAAATTTAATACTAGACAACATAAAAAACAACTATATTTCACATTGGAAACAACAAATAACCAATTCCACAAAACTATCATTTTACTGTAAATTAAAAAAAAAAAAAATTGGAACAATATCTAACTACCATAAAAAATCCATCCCAGAGACGGATGTTCACAAAATTCCGAATTAGTAATCACAAATTATTGATCGAATATGGCCGTTACCAAAATATACCTCGTGATGAAAGACATTGTAAAACCTGCGGCACTGGTGCGGTTGAAGACGAATTTCACTTTGCATTCGAGTGTCCAAGTTATAGTAGCATTAGGAACAATGCAAACAATATATTAAAAAATATTTTTCAGATGAACATTACAACGGATTCAAAACAAAACTTATTGACGCATGTGATGTCATGCGATGATTTAGTTATAATTGAGCTATTTTCTAGCTTTATTTCAAAATGTTTCTGCCTTAGAGACAGATGCCTTAAATCTGGGGACACCCCTTAATTACTATAATATATATACTCTTTTGTTTATACTATATATTATATATTTTTAAGAAACTTTAATATGAACTACACCGTAGTCATAACATTTGTTCTTGTTATAATAGGATAGTCAGTGCTCTTAATAGCACTTCTATACTTAATACTTTAGCAATACCTGTACAGGTCATGCCAATAAAGTTGTTAATAATAATAATAACCAGCCAGCCAAGTGTGGGCACCCGAAACTGTCAACAACATCCTAACGATCGAACGGTTGCAGCGACGTGCATCAAAATTTATTCTTTCGCTCCCGTACAAAACATCTATCCCGTATAAGAAACGAGCGGCTACCATCGAAATCCTCCCTCTATGTTACTGGCATGAGTATTTAGATCTGGTGTATCTTCACAAATGCCTTATACATAACTCTGACAATAACATATCTATAAAGATCCCTACACGAGAAACAAGGAATACTAGTTCAACTAACGGCATCCTACTTCATGTAACCAAAAGTAAAACTGTTTCTTTTCAAAACAGCTTTTACATCAGAGCTGCTAATATATGGAACACGCTTCCCGGCTTCATAAGAAATACCACCACATCTCTAACTAAATTTAAATGTAATCTATAATGAAATACTACGTAGAATTAACCCAACAAATTTATGACCCTGAAGATCCAAGAACATTTAAGTCTGTGTGTATTAAACGTCACACCACTCGCCCACTAATGAACTTATCAACTCGAACATGTTGCTAAATTTAGTTTTTGTTCGTTTGTTCGTCAATACGTTTGCTTTGTCTTCTTGTATTTGTGTTTAATTGTTATGTTTGCTTTAACTTCAAAATAATTAGATATACCATTAGTTGTTCTTTTTTGGAACCCCGTTATTGGAGAACTATCTTTGTGTGCAAATTCCAGTCATTTGTAACCATAGTACTCTATATAGATCTATTGCAATGGCAAACTTGTAAAATAAAATAAAATAAAATAAAATAAAACAAATAAAATAACCTCAGCACCATTATATTGTTACTGGCAAAGAATTAGCATAACATTTTCATTTATATATACAGTCTACAGTATGATTTATAAACAAGAGAGAAATTCGATCTACTGTATAAAGATAAAAGATGCCTACCTTGCCTTGAATTCTTCATATCATAGGAAAGTAGTCCGAATACAATACTTAAAGTAAGCAAAATTCTTCACTCAGAGCTTTGGTCTAAAATATAATAACAAATATACTGTCATTTAGAAAACTATTATTAAAAATATCATCTGTAATACGAAGGATTAATTAGGTCGATATTTAAATAGATTTTTATATTGTGTCTATGATGTCTTTTGCAGAATCTTCACTTTGATCTCCGCGCACACTGGTTCACACACAACAACATTCAGGGGACTGTATTCTATCAATTTATTTTATTGGAAAGATTTTCTATTCACAACGCGATTTCAGACTTCCTCGTCTCGCTACGATCTGATCACAACTGAATTTACATATTTGCCTCAATCAATAATAGTATTAAATTACAAGGAATCACTGTGACGTATTTTAAGCAATATTATACACATATTTACATCAAGTATAGCAGAAGCAACTGCTGTGTGGAAAACTGGCGGCACTGCGCTGGGAACTTACAACACCCCACCCACCTTGATTCATAAAGGATTCATCTATGAATCAAGCATCGCCCTTGTCTTCGCTTTTGAAATAACAGCAGCAGCTCGTCTTGGACGCTCATGCAATTCATGCAAGGAACCTTCTGACTCAGCTGGAGGGGAATTCCCTTCCTTCCCTTTCCCACCCGGTCGAGCTTGAATCTCTAACGGGTAAAGTTTCTGGATCGGTCTTTTCAGGTAAACTGGTCTACCCTTCCCTGCAACTCTTACTTTGGCCCCTCTAACTTCCTTGTCCTTACCTATAATTAGTTCTTCTACTTTCGCTAATTTCCAATTACCTCGTTTCTCTCCTTCTCCATACACTGTCACTACATCTCCCTTCTTCACACTCTTTCTCGCATTTCCACTCTTACACTTGTGAAATTCTCTCAACCCTGTCAGATACTCACTTTGCCACCTCTTCCAGAAATGTTGTAATTTCAACGTAATATACTTAAATCTTTCTCCACAACTACGTTCCTCTCTAACTACTTCCCTCTGTGGTATGAAGTTAATAGCTCTACCATAAATTAGGTGTGACGGTGTCAAAACCTCTCCTTCACACTCTTCATACTCATCTGTTAATGGTCTAGCATTTAATGTACCCTCTATCTCTACTAGCACTGTGGTAAGTTCATCTACTGTCAATTTAGCATTACCTAGAACCTTTCTAAGACACCGTTTAACACTCCGAACCATTCTCTCAAAAAATCCTCCCCACCAAGGCGCTCTTTCTAAATTAAACCTCCATGCTACTCGTTTAGTTTGCAATTCCGCCTTAACTTTAGGTTGGTTAAACAACCGTCTAACTGCCCTTTCTGCTGCCTTAAACGTTTTGGCATTGTCAGATACTATGAGACTTGGCATTCCTCTCCTAGCAGCAAATCTCCGTAGACAACATAAAAATGTTTCTGCAGACAAATCCCCAACTAGCTCCAAATGTATAGCTCTAGTCACACAACAAGAAAACAATGCTATATAAACTTTACTCGGACATTTTGCACAACACTTTACAAACAATGGACCTGCAAAATCTATTCCCACATTAGAAAAGGGTGCAGCTTCCCTAACTCGAAATCCTGGCAAATCTGCTGTCTGTGCTATACTATAAGCTTTTCCCTCTAATCTCTTACAGGTGACGCATCTACCTAAAATCCGCTTCACCATTTGTCTTCCTTTCACAACCCAATATTTTGTCCTTAATCTTCCTAAGGTTGCCCGTACACCGCAATGATGCACTTCACTGTGACATTTCTGGACAATCAATTCAGTCAGTCTGTGGTCCTTGGGTATAATGATTGGGTGTTTGGTATTAAACTCTAACTCAGAATTATATAATCTACCTTTACATCTCAGAATGCCTTCCTCTTCTATCAACCCTAAACTATTACTCAGCTGGGTGTACTTTCTATCTACTTTCAACCCTGACTGAGCCTCTTTAATCCATATACTCTCTGCCTCAACTAACTCATTCACTGTCAACTCTCCACTTTGCCTATCAATGCCCCTTGCTTTTGCTCGTACATTAAACCCAAACCTAAGTACCCAAGCTGTTACTCTAAAAAGTTGTTCTGCTGTCCCATAATCACTCAAGTCAATCACTCTACTTATACTAGCTGGCTCTGTCACCTTTACAACCATAACTACAGACTTTCGTTCCTCTTCCAAAACTGTCTTTGTCTTATCAGTAGCCTCAAATTTTGGCCACTCCTCTTTGGACTTAGTTAGCCAATCTGGCCCCACCCACCATAACTTGTTATCTTTCAATTGTGAAGCAATTACACCTCTTGACCCAATGTCAGCAGGATTTTCAATCCCGGGACAATGTCCCCAATCCCCTTTGTTCGTTAGCTTCAAGATCTCATTTACTCGGTGGTGGACAAATTGTTTCCATTCACCCCTATTCATTATCCAGTAGAGTGCTGTCATGCTGTCAAGCCAAAACTTGGTACTATCTATCCTAACTTGGTTTTCAAGTGACGCTTTTACTGACTTCATAATCTGCGCTAACAGCCTCGCTGACATTAACTCTAACCTGGGAATACTAGTTGCTTTTAAGGGAGCTACTCTTGCCTTTGATGTCAATAAGCGGACATAAACCCCTACATTAGTACGATACACAAAATATACAACAGCACAGTATGCCTTCTTGCTCGCATCGCCAAATCCATGCAAGGTACACTCCAAAACATCTTCTGCACGATGTTGATATATACAGCGAGGAATGGTAATTTCCTTAGTTTCTATCAAATCCCTGTACCAACCCTCCCACTTATGCAGTAACTCATCAGTGAAGTTTTCATCCCAATCAACTTTATCCTTACATACTTCTTGGAACAATATTTTGGCACATACAATGACTGGACTAATTATTCCGAGAGGATCAAATAAACTTGCTAAAACACTCAGTAGATTTCGCTTTGTAGGTGATAAGGTTTTTGCCCTTTCCCCCACTCTCGCAACCTCAAACTTAAACTCATCGCTCTTGTTATCCCATGCCTGTCCTAACACTTTATGGCATTTTGATTCACATCCTGTTACTCCAAGGGATAATTTTGCATATGATTGATGATCCTCAACAATGTGTTTTGTCTCACATTGGTCTATCTCATGCACCTTAATTTTACTTTCCAATATATTACTGTTGGTAGACCACTTTCTTAGCTTGAACCCCCCTTGTGCCATTCTGCTCATAGTCTTATCATATAACTGAAATGCTTTATCTACCGTACTTTCCCCACTAACTAAATCGTCTACATAGAAACTTTCTAGCACCTTCTTCACAAACTCAGGATCTGTTGAAAGATACTTTGAGACATGATGCCTTAATGTTGCATTGAGTAAGAATGGAGATGCATTCAATCCAAATACTACTCTACAAAACCTATAAACAACTGTTTCCCACCTATCACTCTCAATATCATTTACCCACAAAAACCTCAAACAGTCTCGATCTGCCTCATCAACCTCCACATTCAAAAAAGCCTTTTCAATATCGCCTACTAAAGCAATCCTGTTTTCTCTAAACCGCATCAATATGCTATATAGTAATGGATTGAGGGATGGCCCAACATGCAAGCAGTCATTAAGTGATGTTCCTGATTTACATTCTTTAGAGGAAGCATCATAAACAACCCGAACCTTTGTGGTCACTGCATCTTTGCGGATGACCGCCTGGTGTGGTAAATAATGAACTTTATCAACTTTCTCTAATGCTACTACCGGTTCTACAACCCCTTGCTCTACCTGTTCTCTGATGATAGAATCATACTCTGTCAACAATGCTGGCTCCTTCTTCAGTCGTCGTAACTGATTCTTCATTCTACCTAAGCTATTTGCATAATTGTCAGGCAATTTGTCGTGACTTTCCTTCCAGGGTAGTTTCACAGAATATCTACCACCTGTGAAAGATATGCCATCTAAAAACTCCTCATGAACCTTATCTTCCTCATAGATACCTAACCCTTCAAAACTCCACAGCTTCTGTACATTACTCTCCAAACTATCTTCACTATTCATTCTCTGAGCTACAAAATTTACTTGGGCTAACTCTGCTCCCTCTATATTTTGCACTCTCAAAGGCCCTGATAAAACCCATCCTAACTCAGTTTCTATGGCAACTGGCTCTCCAGATTTACCTCTCTTGGTTACACCTGTCTGAAAATTCCAGAGGTAGTCTGCCCCTATCAACACATCTATCTCTAGCTCACCCTGACACTTCGAGACATCTGAAAACCATATACCTTTCAAATGTGGGTATTCTCTCCTTGCTAGTTCTACATGGCTATTCTGTATTCTACAGATTTCTGGCACTACAAATGCTTCTAAGGAGATAACCTTATTCCCGTTAACAGGTTCAAGCTTTAATTCGACCACCTCCCTGTGCTCGGCATTGGTACATTTTTGACCGAACGTATTAATCCCTAACAATTCCCTTCTTAAGCCCTTGGGATTCACAAGACCAGCTGCTTTAGAAGTAACAAAGGAACGATGACTTCCCGCATCAAAGAGAACCCGCACCTTAGCCACCCTTTCACCCCTTAAAACCCCGCGTGCAGTTTGCAAGGCAACCAGGCTACCAGTTCCCGCATGCAAGTTACTACTGGAACTAGTCACATGCACATTAGTATTAACAGGGACCTGTTTAGATTCTTCGTCAGGTTCGACTGTTTTGTCATGTTTATCGTCTTTTTTAGGGCTTGCATCACATAATGCAACATGATGTGCCCCATTGCAACCATTACACCTATATTTAACAGTACAATTACTGGCTCTATGGCCCTTACATAAACAAAGAAAACATCTACCGTATTTACGAGCCAAACTCTTTCGTGTCTTCGGATCTTTCACTCCCTCGCAGTCTTCGTGATTGTGATTCTTCAAACAGAAGGCACAGTTTCCTCTCCTTTCGTTTGCTAACAGTGCAGCTGCAGTTCCAGGATGATGTTGGCCATATTTCTTTAAACCCGAATTTCGCTCGTGTCTTTCCTGCTCTCGATCCGAATTCGTTCCCACTGCATTGTGCGCTTCACGAAGTTCGAGTTCCTTCTCAAAAGCGTTTAACATTTCTTCCATCGACCATTCTAGAAAGTTCTGCCCTCGCGTGATGGTCAAACGAAACTGTTCTGGCAACTTTTCCATGATTGTCGGAAGAACAATGGCTGAATACGAGTCTTCGTTCACTCCCAGGGCTTTCAATGCGCGGTTGTTCGCTTCGCAGCTGTCATACAACTTCCGCAATCTTAGTGTATCTCGTTCTTTATAAACCGCCGGCAATTGCATTAGTTCATTTACATGCGCCCGTTGTACTGCGCTTTTCTTTTCGAATCGTTTCTTTAATAATTCCACCGCGTACTTGTAATTCGCTCCCGTCAACGAGAGACCAGCGATGGTAGACTTTGCTGGCCCTTCCAAATATCCGCGCAGATAGGCGAACTTGTCAACATCCGACAATTGGTCATTGTTGTCTATCGAGCTCGAAAATCCATCCCAAAACTCTGGCCATTCACAAATCTTTCCGCCGAAATTCCGTAGTCTAAGTTTCGGAAGCTTCGCTCTTATGATTTTACCCGCACTTGATATTGAAACATGACTTTGATCAAGGTTTCCTTCGGCTGATGTGAGATTCGTTGCGTCAATAATGGCAGGCTTTGTCCTCCGAGTTTTCCTAGCGCGTCATCGAGTTGAAGCAACGTTCTTTCCAATTCTGCGATCGCTTCGTCTGAATCCTCGATCTCTTTGCCAAGTTGTTCGTCGACGTCTTCGTCTTTCGATGCGCTGAGTATATCAATGACTTGTTCATCGAGCTCTTTCAACATTTTGATTTTGTCACGTAATGTGATCTGGCTTTGTCTCAGCCATACTAAGTCCTTCTCTGGGCTCTCTGCGCTTGCTTTCGGTATCGCTTCCATTATCTTTGCCACAAGCTTACTTGCCGATGCTCTGTGGCCTCCTCTAACTCGCTTTTTCTTCGTCAGATCGTCCATACTCTTCGTTTTCAAACCTTACGCAAATCTTTCCACTATCGACGGCAGCGCAAATATCAAACGTTCTTTGTTCGCAGCCTCGCACACAATTCACAAATCCGGTTCGATCGGACCACTGTTTTGCAGAATCTTCACTTTGATCTCCGCGCACACTGGTTCACACACAACAACATTCAGGGGACTGTATTCTATCAATTTATTTTATTGGAAAGATTTTCTATTCACAACGCGATTTCAGACTTCCTCGTCTCGCTACGATCTGATCACAACTGAATTTACATATTTGCCTCAATCAATAATAGTATTAAATTACAAGGAATCACTGTGACGTATTTTAAGCAATATTATACACATATTTACATCAAGTAGAGCAGAAGCAACTGCTGTGTGGAAAACTGGCGGCACTGCGCTGGGAACTTACAACAGTTCACGCATTATTGTGTCTTTCTTGTAAAGCGTTTCAGATAGATTATTAACTATCTTTTTGAAATGATCAAAATCCATTCGCACAAATTTTTCAAATCCTGGTGTGTCGTGGGCAGCCAGATCGGGAAGAAGCTGACCGAAATCACCTTAAAAAAACCCTTTGTTTTTTCTCTCTAGAAGCCAGTGCCGGCTCCAAATACGTTTCTAAATAAAAATTTATAGAAACGCTGAAGTATTATTTAAGCTGAGATACCTTTCTTCCTGTAACAATTATTCAATATTCCTACTCAGTACACACAATACTTGCATTTAATACATAAAGACAAGGTCAAGGATGAAAAGTGCAACTTACATCGCTATATTCACTATCCAGGAAGAGAATGTCAAAAAGTATGCATGCCTAAAACCTAATAACACATGCATCCCAAAGACCATATAAAACTTCGGTATAGTTTTTATTCAATTTACAGCCATTTCAAGCTAAACGGCAATAAATATATGTTTTGATATATGCATGTTTAATTAATTGACCATTTGGGTAATAGATTAAATTTTGATCTAGACAAAAATTTCATCACAGCTAGTTGAAAGAGCATCACAAAATTAGTAATATTCCAAAGTTTCGTTGCGAAATGTTGTAAAATGCGCATAATATAGCCCTGCGAAGTTTGCAATTTTCAGTCATTTTAGATTACAAAAATCTAAAATGACTGAAAATTGCAAACTTGGCAAGGCTATATTATCCGCATTTTACAACATTTCGCAACGAAACTTTGGAATATTACTAATTTTGTGACCAAGAGGAGGTAAATTATTCATAAAATTAATTACGTTATTCGATGGAAAGTTTGCTTACCCCTCAACGGCAACGACACGAAACAAAATTACTTACATTTTTTATGTACTATTTACAACATGAGCGGTGCTCTTTCAAGCTGTGATGAAATTTT